AAAATACATTCACTTTTTTTCCTATGCACACAGGACCATCCTGGAGCTGCTCCCCAGCTGCAGCTGAGCTGAAGGAGAGCTGTGCATCAGGCAGGAACATGGCCTTGGTTATGGCCTCTCCTGCCGCTGCTTCCAGGCGCTTTACCGACCTCGGGATCTCAGAGGAGAGCCGGGAGCCCTGGGGCAGAGCGCAGGGAGGAACCGAAGCCACGCGCCACAGAGGAGCCCCCGTCCCAGCATCCCCACTCCTCAGCTTCCTCTCCCATGTTAAGAAGTCATCTCTGCTTGAGCGGAAAGGAAACCCTCTTCAAAGCTGCTGCAGGGAAACATCGCGCAGGGTTTGCTCGGCCCGGGCCGCGACACGCAGCGTGAGGGCAGCACGGGTGAGCGGCCGCTGCGGCCGCGCTCGGAGCTCGCGCCAGGTGAAGGCAACACGAGCGGGCTCAGCCCCACACACAAGGCGCCAAGGCCGAATTTGCTGGGCTCGAGCACGTGCCCTGCAAAGCTCTTGGGCGGCTCCGCTCCTGCCCCTCGCGGGTTCCGTGCAGCCCGTGGCCATTCGCAGCGACCCGACGCTTCCTAAAAGGTGGGCGAATCCCTCCCCAGAAGAGCCTTTGCCCTGGGAGTGCAGAGTGAGAACGTGGACCAAGTGCTCAGAGCAGCGGGGAGGGGAAGGACAGGCCCTCCAGCCCTGCGGCGGGAGCGCAGGCACTGGGGTGCGTGTTGAAGTGATGCCATGCAGCCGTTCTGGAAGTCAGGAGCGGGCACAGACTGTGGCACATTGGTCTGTCCAGCAACGATGGGGATAAATCCCAGCATCCCAAGAGCATGTCCTGGTAAAACCCTGAGAAGGTGGAATGGCTCTCCCGGGCAGGGAGAGGCCAGTGGAGGCGGTACCTACTTCCAGGGTATCTACTTCCAGCTGCCTCTACGGGATGGACTGAGGTGTGGGAAGACGGGGTGGTTCCCGATATTCAAATACCAACAAAAGGGACAAATTAATGTCAACATCTCCTTTCATTCCTGCGGGAACAGCCAATTTAAACAGTGGGATTCCAGCACAGCAGAGCTCAGGTAGCAGTGAGGATGGTAACAGGACACAAGCTGCTGCAATTTGCTGTGTATCCAGGGGACCATGATCCTCTACATCTGGGGGAAGGAAATTCATGGCTGAGCTATGGAAAAGCAGGCGAAGAAAGGCCCGGCAGCCCAGGGTTCCTGCGTGACCACAGCACGAACTGGCACCGGGTAGAATATTCCTCCCTGGTTCTCCTGGTAGTCTGTAGAGTGAAACGTGGTGTGAGATAGGCACACACCACAGCAAAGGAAAAAGACCGTCCCTGTCTTGGCTGGACACACTCACTGCTTTCTCTCCTTGTGTAAATTTTCTAGTCCTGCCACAGGCAGGGAGATGGCCACAAAGGCAGAGTTAGCAAACCTCAGACAGAGTCGAAAAACAAGATAAATAAGATAAAACACCATGGGAAGGCTCTGTCTATAAACAGAGAGGTCACAGGGACCACGCTGTCTTTGAACAGGCAGCTACAAAGCATGTTGGAGACGATGTTTAACAGGAAGCAAAGGCAGAGACATAAAAACAAACCTCACCATCAAACAGGGAAGGAAAAACACTGAAGAAACCCAATGCATGATTCTGCTAACTTGCAGCTCCCTCTTCTACCAAGTATTCACATCAGCACAGTGCTTAAGTGCACTGCCTGCCCCAGGATCATGCTGAAGCACCGCTGGAGGGAAACGGGAGCTTCCCAGGAGCTGGTGGAGAGGAGAGCGGGGCGCTGAGCAGGGCTGGGCACCCTTATGGTCCCAGCCATAAACCCCCACGGGCCAACACGCAGATATTCCTGCAACAGGGGACCCGGCATCAGGACCGGCATCGAGGGAAGCTGCAGAGTGATGAGAGATCCCAGCAACATTAGAGGGAATCAAGCCAGCTGTGAGAAAACATTTGCATGTTTAGCTTTTTTTAATTCTTGATAAATATATCAACAAAATCTGTTTATCTGCTTGGTTTTGCTTCCCTCCTGTGCTCTGCAGCACCACCGGTGACAGGAACAGCAGTCACTCAACAGCTAAACTTGTAGCTGCTCCTGGTGCTTCCACAGTTGCTCTCAGACGGCTGCTTATGGAGCCAGGAAAAGGGCAACGTCCGCAGGTGCCACCTGGTGCTTGTGCAAAAGTCTCCGTCACGCTTGGGCCAGAGAGCTGGGCAGGTGAAGAGACGCCTGGAAGAAAAGCTCAGGCCTGTCCTCAAGGTGGGGAGCTACGCGAGGAGCTCGGATGGGCACCAAAGGGCTCCGGGGCTCGGCGGAACAAACGCACCGCGCACGGCTCTAACCACCGAAACAAAAACATATATGAAATAAAAAAACCCCGCTGCCTGTTGAATAGACTTTGCCAAAGAATCAGAGAGCAAAGGGGCTCACTTGGGAGCAAAACAAAGATGAATTGACAGCGAGTTCAAGAGAATTCATTCTTCTGCTGAACACTTGTCTCTCCATCAGGACATCTCAGAGGCTTGTCAAGCAAACGCAGGGATTTTATTTGTTTCTATGGTTGCCATAACGATAGAGCTATATGTCATGTCAGGCAGCACCTGAGGCTTCTCCTGTGATTTATAACTGCTCCAGAGAAATTGCAAACTTCTCCTCAGAGCCGGCGGCAACGCGGGGCCGTGCAGCACCCTGCTTTGGAGAGGCGAGCGGAGGGCGGCAGCGAGCGGGCAGGGGCAGGGGGAGATGCCGGTGCATTTGCCACCCTCTCCTGCTCAGGTCCTCCGTGCTCTCGGGGTTAGCACTGGCTGTTTGCTAAAACGTGCATGGACTACGTTAGCGAAGACGTCACCACTGGCACAGCGGCAACCGCGCGCGAGCGACGTTATCACCATGCAAGGGGCCGCGCTCTGGGCTTGAGGAGGGGATGCTTAATACGGTTACTCATAAATAATACATTCAAGTTTCATCAACTCCAAGAGAAACCTTGTGCTTAATTTATGATATATAGGCCTAAAATCAGCACCATCGAGTCTGCATGCGAGGACTTGCCCCCAGCCTTCGTGCAGGGCACGGCAGCAATCCTGCCCGGCTCAGGTGCTGTTGGGTGTGGGATGTTTGTGTGTGGACCTTCCATTTGCATCCCCAGGAAGTTTCTTTAATGACTGAAATGCAGCCCGCTCCTTTTGCTCCAACTCCCCCAACCCTTGCGTGCAGCTTGTAGCACTACTCAGCAGCAAGATGCACTGAGAACAATATTGCTCAGAACAACAGCAGGGAGTCAGCATTTCTCTGGAGAGCTGCCGAAAGGCAGATCCCCACCTGTCCATTCCGCAGTCTCAAACAGCTTCATAAAAACACACAGCCACGTTCGAACCTTTAACCCTCCGAGTTGTAAAGACTTCATCGGTTGTTTTCTCCAAACCAGGCTTGCTGCAATTTTCCTCCATTAAAATCTGCAAGATGAGTGACCCCTGAGCCAGAAGGTGTCAGACTAATGAGAGGTCTGGAGGAATGCAGCACGCTTGTTATTAATGACATAGAAGGATACAGGGCTGAATTACCATTGCGGCATTACGGGAGAACAAGCAGGACACGCGGAGCGCTGGGACACGGCCACGGTACCACTGCATTGATACGGAGCAGGACACGAGTCCCTGGCGCGGGGACACGGCACCTCTGCCGTCTCACAGCCCAAACGGTCCCTCCAGACACAGAGACCTGGCTGTGTTTGACACCTGCGCCGTGGGCGGCCCCGTCCATGGCCAGAGGCAGGGCAGACACTACAGCCCACGGGCTGGAAAACAGGACCCCCAGAACCATCGCATGACGCTGCCAAAACAAGTGTCTCAGTGCAGAGGGACAAAGCAAAGACGTGGCAAGACAAACACCTATACACCCTTCTTGGGTGCTTCCTTCAAGCAAGAAGGGCTCAAGAGCCTCGGCACAGACACAGGACACTCTCAGCACAGACATGGGACAGAACAGTGCTCGTGGGCACCAGGCAAAGCTCCGTCCCTGCTCCTAAAGTGCAGTGGGTCTGAGCAAGCCAGGCTGGGCTCCTCCGCTCCGCTCAGCTGAGACGGGGCCACCCTGATTTCCATCCATCACAGGGTATTCAGGACCCTGAGCTGGCTGCCTGATCCCTGTTTGAGAAGTGTTTAAGTTCTAAGGCAGAAATAATAGATCGTTTTTTGGTTTTCACTGTATCTGTGAAACCTTCCATAATTCAACATCAAATATTTATTATTACGTTTATTAAAGTTTTAATAATTCAGCACTGCCTGTATGTAAGATACAAGCTCATTGAACTTGCCTCCCTTACTCCACCTGGGTCGCTCCAATATTTATACCTGGTATCCTCAATTCAGGTTTCATTTATGAGGGTGTAAGTGAGAGACCCCACACCACAAATTCCTCTCCTCCTTCCCTGACAACTTAGCCAAAATGGGGAAGCCAAAGAAATAGTAGGGCATTTATAGAACTCAAGGAAGAAAAAGAAAACAACCACTATTATAAGATAGTTATTGGACAAGTGACACAGCCTTCCACCAGGTCTGATCCTAGTCCTTCATGATCACCAAAGCAGAGTATCCAGGACTGGCTGTGTGTGATATACAAATGAGTTCCTGAAACACGATGACGTTTCCATACTGGCAAATGCATCTCTAAGCTGTTCAATCAAAGGTCAGCTTTAAGCCAAAAATTGCCTCACCAAAGGTTTGCAACCATTTACTTGACTTGATTGGCAGACTTAGACCAAAATTGAGAGTTGTACCAACAGGCCTGGCCTAAATCCACCAAAATCAGACACACTGCCTCCCCCCAACCCATCCCCCAAAGAAAAGGAAGGACCTGTAACATCAGGTTTCTCATTGGAAAAAAGAAGTAATCAAACTTCCTGGCCCAGAAATTACCACTTTCTCAACAGAAATCTAAAGAACTGTCTAGTGACTCAAGCATGAACGAAAGGAGAGATCTGTTTCCTACCTGACATCTGCTGGGTCTTCCGTTACCAGAACATCTGTCTTGCAGCTGGCGAGAGGATTGATGGAAAGCTCCACAGGAGGCACCACGAAGCTCTTACTGACCGGCAGCCACAGGCCTTGACCCAAACTGTAGGTGGACCTGAAACGAGGACAAACTTATCATGTAGAAACATAGCATCTACAGTAAACGCTGGACCTCTGCTGTACCTGACCAGCTGGAAACCAGGGCAGTGGTGGCATTATCAGATTAAGTAGTCTCCTGATCTTGTACCAAAGACCAGTGCTAACAAACAAAAGAGAAATAGCTCAAGGTATGACAGGGAGAGCATGGGGGTGGTCATGCTAATCCTTTTAATGCAGGGGATTTTTCTCTGCATCCTGTCCTCACTTTTGCTCAGACGTATGCTCAGCACATGGCGTGAGAGGGAAAACCTTTTTCTTTGGCAGAATATAGACAAATCTGCAAGGTTTGTCAGAGGCAAATAACACCCACACAGAACGTGGGCCAGGACAGAGCTGGGAGCGACTTGCAGGTAGCAGTTGTGGAGTCCTCAGCAGGGCACACGCACCCCAGGCAGGCAGGCTGAGTGCTCACTCAACTCACCTGAGGATCTTCTCCGGTGCTTGCTCTCCTGTGACTAAATCATATCCCCTCTCAAGTGTGGTGTAGGGCCAAGGCCTGGAGACAGAGAAACCAGATCATGTCAGTCAGCAAGAACAACAACCCGGGCCCCAGGATTTGCCTCTGGTGACAGACGCAGGGGAAGATTTGACTCCTGCAGTGAACATCTTTATATGGGGGGCTCAGCTCCCACTCACCCTTCACTGTGTCCCCAGTCACTGCGCACACACAGGTGACGATGGACGGGGTCTGGGGCATAACCTTCATGACAGCTGCATTCTCCTGAAAGGGAAAACGGAAAAGATCACACTTCTCTCTACAAGAAGCACGTGAGAAGTCACTACATTGGAAAATTCTTCCTTGTCATTCCATGATCAGGCTTCCCTGATCCTGCTGCTGGATAAAAAAAAAAAAAAACACACACACACTCTGGATCCTCCTGAAACATCCAGGTGAGGAACATAGTGCAGAAAGATCTGACCTCCCATCCTACCTTGCCTCCATCTGCTGTATTCCGCATCCTCTCCTGTGCCTTGTTCTGGCCCTCGTGGCCTCCCAGCTCTCCTGCCTTCCCCCTCGGTGCTTGCTCGCCCTGTTACACACTTTGCACAGCACGATGTGGGACTCCTGCACAGACACCTGGCCAAGCGCGGCCCAAATTGATTCCATGTTTGGTAAAAACACCTATCCTGGAGCGTGCAATGGCAAAATAAAAAGGTCTGGATTTGCACATAGAATTTTGGTTACCAGATTCCTTTTTTTTGCCCCCCAAGTCCCTCTCCCCATCACGCTCCTGCCTCACAGAGTGGCAGGATGAGCTTCAAGCCCTGGCCGAGGTGCAGAGCCAGGGGAGGCACTTGGCCTCTGCTCTCACCTCCAGGCACAAGCGAGGGAAGATGCTGCGAGCAGGGAGACAGCGGGGATGCCCCTGTCACCGAGCTAATGCAGACTGACAAATACCTATGTGTTCTTCGGGTTCCTAAGCAGGTTCTTAAAGTGTCTCGCAGGGATTACAGTAAAGAGCTTTATTGTCAGGAGGGAAAGGAACGGGGTTCAATCGGTGAGATTTTTGAGGAGAGCTGCCTGGAAGGGAGGAGGCAGAAAGAAAAGAAAAAAGAAGAAGAAAAAAGAGACAGCTAATGATGTGCTAAAATGCAACAGCACCTTCATGAAATATTCACTGCTTTAAACACGTCTAATATTAAAGATTAAATGTCCTGGGATTTGTCCTAGCGACTTCGAAGCATTGATTTATGATCTGTCAAAAGCTGCTAACCTCATGATTCATAACGGGAGAGGTAGCAGCGTTACTGCTCTGA